TTTTTTTTTTTTGGCACAGACTCGTTATATGATAAAAGAAAACTTCTGACCAAAATTCGTCCAAATCGAAAGGGGTCGATTCCAACTATTGGTCGATTTGACATGGAATGACCCAAATATAAAAATGCTTGTAATTATAATTATTTATTGAAATAGTAAACAAGTAAAGCAAAGACAATTCGCTTAAAATTATATTCGAGATTGTCAACGTGTTTTGTTTTATGCTTATGAATTTGTATAGAATTCGAACATATTAAATAAATAAAAAATTTATGTATGACTTGAAGTTAACTATTGCGCCGTTGCCAAATTGTAATATTCATTCTTTTTTATATTTTTTTAAATTCCAGTTCTCATATATGATTGGTGAATTAAAACCGTGAATAACTCGAAAACTACTTAAAATTTTTAAAAATGACTGAGGAACTTTATGCTTAGAGTCGTCCCCTCTATCTAAATTTTCTCGCTGTGAAAGTAATTCTGAATCACCCTGTATAAACAATGAACAAGATTCCGTTGTAAAAGTTTAAAAAAGTTTTTTCATTTGTTTATAATGATTTTTCAAAGTTATAAAAAATTGAAATATTCGGCTAATGTTATAAAAACATTTTTTTTTCCTAAATCTTTAATTCTGGTTGTTTTTGTATTAATATATTGCGTATAGTAGGTTGGCTAAAAAATTTATGACGTTAATTGTATAAAAATTTGTAATGAACAAATAAAAAAGTTAAATATTTTTGAAAAAATTTTTTTTTGTTATTTTATTGTCTTAGTGAAATAATGATTTTCTAAAAAAAAAATATTTTAATTGTTTATAATTGTTTTTTTCCCTCATCCAACATTTAAATTATTTATTTAGAAATCATTTTTTTTTAAATCATCGTTTATAATTCTCAATATAATTATGAAAGAATTTTTTTTTTTTAATTGAATTTTCATTGTTTATTTTATGAACAAATCTTCATTTTCATATTATTTTTTTTCCGTAGCTTTAAAAAATTACAAATACAGCCATGTGCATCAGAGTTGTAAAAAAAATTGATGTATCACACGTAAAAATAAATTGTTTAATATAATAGAAAAAATAAGTTTTAGCAAATACATTTATTTCGCAATTAAGATCGCCCCCCCCCCAAATTTCCTCTCCCATGGTTTAAACGCGAGCTATATTATTTCCCCACGAACAACTCTGATCACCAAAACTCAGGGTGCCCGAAACACCCTCACCATTAAAACTCTATTTCTCCTGAGACTCGCAGTTCGAACCTATCCAGCCTCATTTAAATGGCTTTGGGTTGTCTATGGTGCATTCAACAGAAGGTTTAGCTTCGTATCTTGACGAACCTTTTAAGATTTGGCTTCAGATTTCATTTACACCAGCTGCTTTTTACAGCTTACAGATTTATTTTCGGTGATATTTTGTTGGTGAATAACACTTCCAAGCTCCAGAACCTTTATCAGAAAGTTTACTCGACGCGGCCATTTCTTGACGGGGCCAGTATTACGGATGTCACGCATCCGCGAAAAAATTTTCTGATATCACCTAATAAGTCCATTTATAATTTTTGATATATTCTGATATGCTCGTCTATAGCCTGATGCGAGAACTGGTCATATATGGACATATCAGAATATATCTGACAAT